ACAGGGACCAGAGCTACAGAGAGCAGCTGGTTGCTGACCATCTCCTCTTCACCAAAAAAACCCCTCTGAATGGCTTCCCAAAGGCTCAAGGACCCAAAGAGGGAGGAAGTCCTCAGAGCCTGTGTGTCACTCCCCTCCTTTCCAGATGTGCAAGGTCAGGACTTTACTGTGGTTGCGAGCATCATCCTGTGGCACTACTGAGTTTATCCTTAGTGAATGCATCTACACAAGACACTTACTGCGCAGTAGCCTAATACCACTGCACAGTAGCGTGTGGTCAAAAACCGTGCTAATACACTACCGTGCAGTGTTTGTTATTAGGCTACTGCGCAGTAAGCATCACAAAAAAACTGCCAGCGCTACTGTGCAGTAACTAGTTACTGCACATTTACTTAGTACTTCATTAAGCAAGTACTAAACTAAATGTGCAGATGAAGTAGTTTGCCCACCATCCACAAAGCAGCTCAGGTTCATACTGTAGCTGCAATAAAAGAAAGGTGATCTGCTTCCCACCTGGCAATGGGTCCCCTTTGGAAAGCTGTCCCTTAGTCAAAAATCAGCTTTGACACTGAGCTATATTCCCATCTGCACTGGGCTCCCCCTTGCATGTTGTCTGCCAAGACCTCAGCAAATCAGATTTTGTGTTACTGCCCAGTTCAAGGGATGGTGCAACATGACTGTAAGTTAGCATGTAACTGCAGGCTTCCCCATAGTTAACTGTTTGGTTTGTTCCACTTTAACTTACCTTTGACCAAGTATTCTCTTTGCTGAGCAGATCGGCATAGAAGTATGCCATCTTCCACTGGCGTTTATAAGTGAAGCACCACATTAATTCCCAGTAACACATGTGATGGAATTGCTTCCAGTGCTGCTGAGCTTCACAGCATTCCTCATACCTACTAACTGCCTGAACAAAGGAAAGTCCAAGCATAACTATAATCATCTGGTCACATGTCAAACATATCTCTGCAACGAAGAGCATTGGGATTTAATATTGCTCCAACATGCTGAGTGCCCTCAGAGTAGAGGGTGCTCAGCATTTCTGCTAATCATGTTGACCGATTTTATTGGAGCAGGATCAGACCCTTGGCTCCATACCCATTTCCAGGGAGAGGAGCATTTGTTACCAGAAATAAATTGGGGAAACTAAAGCCAGGAGGCAGAACCTCAGCTAGTGCAAAGCACTAGCACATAGCGCTATAGCAAGCAAAGGAACATAACTGCAGTAGAAAGCATAACAAACAACTAATTAACACTGGAGAACTGTTACTATCATCAAGCTGGAAGACGGGCAGCACAGTGCAATGCATCGCATTGAGCTCTCGCACACAGAGATGTGTAATTGTTCTGTCTGCCATGGCTATTGTTCAAAAGCAGGCACAACCGTTTGACACCAGTTCTGCAGCCAGAAGTCATCTGTAGCTGGTGGAATTTCTGCTGAGTTACCAAACAGTTTAATTAAATCAGGAACTGCATTGTCTGGGATACATTTAGTCGGCTGCTGTTCAACTAAAGTGCTTCATTCTAGGCCAATGCTTCTGGCATGTTTTTCACCACAGCAATAACAAGGATTCTTGGATAGCACACATCACCATGGGGGACCAGCACAAGAGCACAACTTCAAATGGATTTTGCTTGAATTTGAGTAATTTTGAGGAATATTTAAGCCAAAAATATTGAACTCCAATAAATTATTCAAATTAAGTAATTAAACAGATCACAGATGGTTATTCTTTTTTGCTCAATTCAGTTAATTGAAAGCAATCAGTCAAGCCATTCAAAGCCAACATGAGAATAAAATTCCTGGTTTGTATTTATGAGTTGCAAATTAAAGATGGACCCAAGCCACAAAGAGTCTGAGATGGAGACAGGTTTTGCTAACAGTTCAGGGAAATTGGTTATACAGTTCAGTTTTGTCCAGGTTGGATGAAAGGGCCAGCTATGAGGTTCAGACCCTAAACTAGTTTGCTTCAGGCTCCTTTGCTGCTGGAAAGACAGTGGCACTTGAAAATTCACTGTAATGAATAGTTGAACTATGCCACTGCAGTAAGAGGCAAACCATGTGAACTGATTTCTTGAAGCAAAACCTTCTCCCCGACCTATTCCTGTCTAAGAATTCGCTGTTTCTTCAGAGATGGTTTTTTGATTTCCAGTTCATTAAGTACAACATTGCTTCATTGCCAGTCCCAGACACTCAACAAATCATGAGTCAAAGGTTCGCTTAAAAACTCTTTCATTAAACAAATTTACTAAATATGGTGCTCTTTTAATTTACCTCCTAGTTTCTCCATTGTCAGAAGGGTTATGCAAGTTTGCCTTTTTTCTTCTTTTTGGAAGGGAAATTAAGATTCTCTCACACATTTCCAGGAGATGGAGCTTTAAGAAAAGCACCACCACAGTGATGAGAAGTGTCAGTAGCACTGAGTAAGCAGATGATAGCAGACACCATACTGGGAACATTTTAAAATATGAAAAAGAAATTCAAGCTCCTAACCCCGTATTTAGGCCTCTTCCAGATTTTCCCAAGGGCCGAATACCCAGTAGCTTCCGCTGAGGTCAAGGAGAGCTGTGAGCTGCTCAGCAATGGGAGACGGGCAGGCAGCCAAGTGTGGCTTCAAGAATCTAACTTTGGGTTACTATTTCTGAAAATCACAGCCAGATTTCATAATTCTACCAAGAAACATTGTTATTGAAGAATTAAAGCTAGCCAGGTATCATGTGCACAGGGAAAGGGTTACTCACCGTATCAATATTTCCTTTTAGTGTTTCTATCCTGCCTGCAAAAAATAGGAAGATGGCTCCCTGTAATAAGCATAGGGGAGGAAAAAAAGCTTTTAACAATTTCATGTCAACTATACAGTTTAGATCTTGATTATTCAACAACAAGCTGTTAAATAGGTACAAAAGGCAGACTAAGTTAGGATTCATCTTACTTTTGGGTAGCGAGCCAGGTAAGGCTTGAGCAGTCTTTCTGCCTCCTCAATGTTTCCTTTCCCTGTCCCTAAATGGAGTAAAAGACATGCAACTAATGACAAAGAAGGGTGCGGTGCTACCATCATATGGCCAATGACTAAGTTCTTATCGAGAAGTAGTATTTACGTGCAAATACAGGACTTTATTCTGTACCACCTTTGATAAGATCAGAAGGGGTATAATGGGGCTTCTTACACAAAGCCATTACAAATGCAGACAGAAGTCTGGTGTATGTAACATGTTATATGTTTGCATCATCCTAAGCCCTTAAGAAACCCAATTCTGTGAAGGACAGAGAAAACGGGGAGGAAAGTAAGAGTGGGTAGGATCTGATTCTGACCCAAACTATTTCCTTATGCTGTGGTAGTCTTCTGAAAACAGACGACCATGTGGACTGGCATAGAACAGAACAGGTTTCTTCTTGGCCACACTGAATGACTTGCTGTGGTGAAGGGCCAGAGGACGGATACCTGACAACAACATTTTCTGGGTCATTTAGCAATTATTCTAAAAACTGGTAGTAAACTTGCCTAGACCTAGACCAAGGAGACTTAGTTAAAGAAGGCTCTAGAGGCATGCCACCCTGAGGATACCCAGATGCTAAATTAACATGAACAGAGAATGCAGTGTACCATCATTTAAATATATTATTTTTTAACTTCCAAAATAATGCACTGAGGAAAGTCCAAGTATTTCTTATTAACTCCAACCCAATCACCTTCCTCCTCCTCTACCTCAGTGTCACTTGTCCAATTCCCCAGCAGATTTGCAATGTAAAACTCTGTTCCCCTTTGTGTCCCACTACAATGGATCATATAAAAGGAATACCATAGGGTTTTTGTAACTAATCTTACCCAACACAAAGGTCATGAAAGTATGATAGCACAGCAGCAACATCGTACACATCACCGACCTAAAGCTGTACATGAATGCTCCTTCTTGAAGCTGCAACAGCCCACGTTCCTGTGCAAAAAATAAATTAAGAAAACAAAGGCTTATCATGAAGTGCCAGTAGTATTTTCGTTGGTATTTAGTCTCTGTAGCATCATTTGGAAATAAACCAGTAGCTCACCACCAACACAAACTGCAACATCTGTCTATGGTAGTGACACAAATTGCTTAAATAGTCACCGTAGGAGAAGATATGTTAATACAAGGCTATAGTATTTCTAATATAGTCACCTCTTGACTTCTAGAAAGTATAATATGGCCAAGTAGTGACTGAGCATCAACTGTATGGTCACATCAAGAGACCGTGCAATACCACCAACATGAGTTATCACTGTCAACCAATATAGTTAACATCGCTTCTGACAAGGTCCAGATGAGTTTGACACCCCTGCTATGGTATATTGGGCCAACACTTTCACAAAGTGAAGTAAAAATAAGCAAGTCTACATCCTAGAATTTGCAACCAGAGTAAAGCAAATGTTAACAAGAACACTATTCAGTTAGTTAGCTCAGGTGTCTGTACACGAATGCACAGAGCCTGGGAAACAAGCAGGAAGAACTGCAAATCCTTGCACAGTCACAGAATTAGGACGTGACTGGAATAACACTTGGTGAGATAGCTCACATGACTGAAGTATTGTCATGAATAGGTATAAACTGTTCAAGAAGAATAGGCAGGGGAGAAGAGGAGGAGTTGAGCTTTATGTAAAAGCTGCATGATTTCTCAGAGCCCCAGTATGAAGCTGGAGACAGGCCTGCTGAAAATCTCTAGGTTAAGGTCAGAGGGGAGAGCAACAAGAGTGATATTGTGGTGGATGTCTACTATAGACCACTGGACCAGAAGGATGGAAATGGAGGAGGCTTTCTTCAAACAGCTCGCAGAAGTTTCCAGATCGCAGGCCCCGGTTCTCATGAGGCATTTCAATCACCCTGACATCTGCCGGGAGAGCAATACAGCAGCGCGCAGGCAATCCAAGAAGTTTTTGGAGAGAGTTGGGGACAACTTCCTGGTGCAAGTGTTGGAAATGCCAACTAGGGGCCATGCTCTTCTTGACCTGCTGCTCATAAACAGGGAAGAATTGGCGGGGAATGTAGTAGTGGATGGGAACTTGGGCAGCACCGACCATGAGATGACTGAGTTCAGGATCCTGAGGGAAAGAAGGAAGGAGAGCAGCAGAATAAGTAAGGACCCTGAAGTTCAGGAAAACAGATTTTGACTCGGGGAACTGATAAGCATGATCCACTCAGAGGCCATCTGAAGGGGAAAGGAGTCTAGAAGAGCTGATTGTATTTTCAGGAAACTTTACCAAGGGCACAGGAACAAACCATCCCGAAGTTCAGGAAGACTAACAAGGTATGGCAGAAGACCAGCTTGGCTTAGCAGGGGACTCTTCAAATGAGATAAAACACAAAAAGTAAACTAGGAAGAAGTGGAAAGTTAGACAAACAACAAGGAGGGAGCATGCAGGGATGAAATCAGGAAGGCCAAAGTGCACGAGAAGTTACAACCAGCAAGGGACACGAAGAGTAACGAGAAGGGTTTCTAAAAGTACGTCCAAAACGAGAGGAAGGTCAAGGAAAATGTGGGTCCGTTACTGAATGGTGGACTTCAGGTCCCAAGATGGCAACCAGGAGACAGGGCACCTGTCAAAGGGTGGGGCTACCCTTGCAGCCCTCAACAGCTCACCAAAACTCATTAAACTGCCCTCCAGCCAGAATAATTGCCTGCCCCTGCACTAGGAGGATAATAAAGCACTGGAACAAGCTAACCAGGGAGATGGAATCTCCATCCTTACAGATTTTTAAGACCCAGGTAGACAAAGCCTTGGCAGGGATGATATAGTTGGGGGGGTCCTGCTTTGAGCAGGGGATTGTACTAGATGGCCTCTTGAGGTCCTTTCCAACCCTAATTTTCTATGATTCATTACATGAATACATACAGGGATAATATAAATGAGAAGTTCTGGAGTGAAGAAAACTGATAAGGAAATCTAAAGACATTAGAAAAAATCCATGGGGGGTAAGGCTATGGGCAGAAAAGAGAAAGCTTCTTAAATATATTAGAAAGCAAAGAAATCTTAGTAATAATCTTGGCTTGTAACTCAACAGAGATGGTAAATATTTTTAGTAACAATGCAAAAAAATCCATCAGTATTTAACATACATTTCTGTTCTGCACATGTGTTTTCATTGAACTGGAGAGTATCAGGCACTGGTCAATGCTGGAAGGAGTGAAATATCATACATGAGACATAAATGCTTGGATCTAGTAGGGCAAACATTATGGGTGGCTATACACGGGCTCCGGTGTGTTCCAATTAGAATTTATCGGTGCAGACTTGATTAACTGAGCATCCTGCAGCGTCACATGTATTCAGCATCCTAGGTTTCAAAATGGCGGTGGGGGCACTTTAAAACTTGTCGAAAAAGCTTTAGTTCAAGCACATCCACAGCTCTTTTGAAACACAGGATGCTGAATACATGTGATGCTGGGGCATTTTAATTAAAGCCGCTGTCCGGAAGCCGCTCCCATTAAAATGCACTCTCCCCGAACTGGAGAGTATCAGGCACTGGTCAATGCTGGAAGGAGTGAAATATCATACATGAGACATAAATGCTTGGATCTAGTAGGGCAAACATTATGGGTGGCTATACACGGGCTCCGGTGTGTTCCAATTAGAATTTATCGGTGCAGACTTGATTAACTGAGCATCCTGCAGCGTCACATGTATTCAGCATCCTAGGTTTCAAAATGGCGGTGGGGGCACTTTAAAACTTGTCGAAAAAGCTTTAGTTCAAGCACATCCACAGCTCTTTTGAAACACAGGATGCTGAATACATGTGATGCTGGGGCATTTTAATTAAAGCCGCTGTCCGGAAGCCGCTCCAATTAAAATGCACTCTCCCCAACCCCAGAGCACATGTATAGACACCCCCTGTTCCTGTGTCATTTCAACATGCTAGCCAATGCCCTTCTAGATCCCTGTTTGGTCAGACAAAAAGTAAGAGGAAATGAATATTCAAGTGCTCAGATTCTTCTTACTAACTACCTGAATTGTACTATTTGATTCAAGTTTCAAGATGCACAGAAACACACCATGTGGGGTAGAAAAATTATATCAAGGCAAAACCTCCAAACAGTTGGTGGCTATTTCAGTCGTGAATATAAGTAAAATGCATCTGCCTCCCTGAAGTGAAACTGCCTGAACAATTTTTAATCACATTTTTTTAATTAAGGTTCTTCAGCAAAAAGCAAGACAGAGATGTCTTTCTTGTCTCATGACTTGGCCATGTCATGACTTGGCCATGTCAGCAATTAAGGGGAATATTTCTATTAGTTTAACAGGAAGACGTGATGGGCAGAGAGCAGTTAGGGCACTCAAATGTGTTACGTGACATCATTTTAGGAGTTAACTTTCATTTAACGCTTGAAAATGAGAGGAAAATGCCAGGCAGAAGGATTTGCTATGGCAGATGGAAATTCAATTAACTGCTAATTGAGACATACGTAAAAAATGTTGTTCAGCACAGCTGATTTGGAACAAATGTCTTCCCATATCAAGGAAACCCAATTTCTTTTTAAATGGTACTATCAGAATCATTTCCTGCTTTCCACAGAAATAATGCTGAATTCCAAACCAGTGCCAACTGCATTTAAGATATGAAGGATTAACAGCAAACTTTACTACAGTTTAGCAGGTATCTTCTGTCTCTTCAGTTCAGTAAAAGCTCCCAGCAAAAATTAAGCCAACTTGTGTGAGAGTCCCCGATTGTGGCTGGCTCTACTGGGGCAGGCTGGAAAAATGTGGATATGCTGCAGGAAGATTTGAGCCCTTGAACCTCTGCCTATTGTGTAGATGCTGTTCTGTACTGACACTGAGGCAAGACTAAATTCAGCATCAGGTGCAAAGAGAGTGCAGATGGCAACAACTCTTCCCCCATCTACTGCTAGGCGTACAGGGAAGCCCACTGAAAGCACAGCGTAGCTTTCATGGCTGAGTACATTCATCAGGACCCCAGGAGGAATTTGCTGATGCAAGGCTCCTATGCACCAAGTCCCAGCCTCACAATGCAGGGCCATGTCTATTAAGTGTATCTAGTCCTTATCGTAACAAAGTTTTACACAGAAAGTATGAAGCAAAGGCCTAGGATCCTGAACTGTGGCAGAAAAGCACTTGGCAGACCTTGGGATATTAAGAGAATCTAAGCATCTTCAAGCCCTCTGTGTGCTCTCTTGATCCTATGTCAATTTATCATCCTGAGACCCCCTTTAGCACATCTAAAGAGTGACTCTATATTGAACTGGCTGCCAACTGCCCCAAAGGACTGCCCAGTGCCTAGGATGCAGAGGAGTCCTAAGCTTATCCCCATACACTAGCAGACATCAGGGGTGATGCCAAGTACATACTGACAGTCCTTTACAAGAGTATTCTCCAAGGGCTCACATCTGCTGGCTTCAGGATAGCTTTGTATCAGGGGACTGGCCAACATAGCCCTAATACAACAGCTTTAGGTATGAATGTCTTTCCATAGTCTATATAATAACCTATACAGTGGTTATTATTATTATTATTATAGATAAGCAGCACAAACACTAAGAATGAAGCACCTCAAAGTCTCCTGGGGAACCATGGGATGATGTCTGTTGTCTGTCAAACTGGACTCAGTGGCTCAAGGAGTTGGCTGTGTCTTCTTCAGTGTCTTACACAGCACCAAGCGCAGTGTCAGCATTTAACAACCATTCTCCTCCCCATCATTGTGTGGTCAAAATACTGCAGGCCTCAAAATTCCTTCTCTCTCAACAGTGATGCCTCGAGTTTTATGCACATTTTCTCAGTCTCCTCCTCTCTATTTCCCATATCTTGAAATCTCTGGTCTCTGCTCCAGGGGGCAGTTTGATCTTGCTGAACTGTGGAAACCTGACACTTGAGATGTGATTACAAATGTAATTGCAATTCTACTCTCAGTTCTGGGCCAGCAGCTCACAGCTCTAAATAAAGCAAGACTGCCTTAAAGTATTCCTCTGAATGACTACCAAATACCTGAACTCTGTTCAGTGACCTGTTGGAAGAAAATACTCTCCTTTCTTTTGAATGGTACTTCAGACAGGAAATCTTTCCTTATGGTTATGGTAATCTATGATACGTTTCAATCTGCTACTGAAAAATCTGGAACAGGACCCAAGTCACTGACATAAGGGACACCAACCCACTCGCAGCCCCCCCAAAAATTCCAGGGCCTGGAGAGAACACAGAAGGAGAGAATGACCCCAAAAAGTGGGGATTAGGGGAAGTTTTTAGCAGCAATAGGAAGCTAAATGGCTGCTTTAAAAGGATCTTTGAAAGAGCATGCTAGTGTCTGGCTTGTACTTACTTTTTCTAAGTTGGACTCTTCTTTTTTAGTTGCTACCAGTCTTTAGCAGACATGTAGAACTAACTAATTTTTTCTTCTTCTGGCTAGAAGAACAGGCAGGTAAAATTGACTAATTAGAGATCTTACCTAGGGAGCCAGGAACTCAAGTTCTCACCTGTGCTGGATCATAAACTCTCTGGTCTTAAGCAACACAGCTACAACCCACGCTCCTAGTCTTAAGCAAGACATTTAACTTCCAGACCTCAGCTTTTTCAGGTTCACCAGTGAAATAAGATGATCCATACATGTCTAACAGGGATGCTGTGCAGATTAACGAGGTAATCCTTGCAAAGGATTTTGTAAATGAAAACTGGTATAAATACTCTTTTGTTTAGCCGAGTGATTCTCAACCAGGGTGTCGCAGCAGCCTGGGGTGCCTCAAGATTCTTTGAAAGGTATTGCAAGGTGCAGTGCAATGTTAGCACTGTGAGGTAGGCAAACATGATTCAGAAAATAAAACTAGAGATTTCAAATAGTAATCCATAGTGTTGAAAACTTTTTGACTTGTTGTGGCGTGACTTCTTTGCAACAGAAGAATTGCTCTATCCAAAAACAAGTGAAAACTAAGGGACCTGCTACATGTTCAAATTAAAGCTGGTTAGAAAGCAGCTATAAAGAGTTGTTACACATTTCAAGCACTAACTGTATAGCTGGTTGGCTCTTTTTAGAGCTGGATATTCATTTTTACAGTGTGATAATGACTTTGCTCTTGTGGCCAGTGTTAATTGCATATGTGGCTGATCAACATTTATTGTGCAATTAACCAGTTAATTACCTAATATATGTAACAGGTAGCAGGGGTCTAAGAGCTGGCATTTTCCAAGGGCTGCCTTGAGTTTAAGAAGGTTGAGAACACTGGTTTAGCTTTGCAGAACAGATGAGTGAAACAGATTTTTCCCCAGAACTGGCATTACAGAGGGAACTGCAGGTGCAGCCTGCCACAAAATTCCACTCCAAGGCTCCAGCTTTGACTGAATACTTGAAATGAACTGGTGCCAGGGCCCAACTCTTCCTCCATGGGATACAGGTAACTACTCATATCTTGCATTGGGATACCAGGCCCCCAGGAAACCAAAGCAACAAAAATGCAGCTCTGAGCCCTCCCTGTAGACTTGCTCAGGTCCTTCACTACAAACCCTCCCCTCCCTTCCTCCCATCATGCACACCCAATGCATGCCAGGCCTCCTACTCTTGGGTAGCTCCTTTGGAAAAAACTGAGGTGCTCTGTTAAAATTTGTAGCAGCTGTTAAAGGCATAGAAAAAAGAATAAAATGAAATCTAAGGCTCTTTCCTTTCTTTTATTATGAGATGATTTAATAAAGGAGGATCAGAAATAAAATGAAGATTTAGCTGTAGCTTCTAAGCACAATTGTAGTACAGACAATAAACATCAATCATCTCTCTATTATGCCATGTGCTGCTGCCTCTCATCTGTCTGTGTCTTCCAGGTACACTGCCAGCATCCTTAATTTTCAAATGCAACAAAGAAATCACCTAAAAAATTCCTTGAGTTGCACCGACTCCAATACCAAGGTTGCTGATTGCTGGGTCCAAAGTGAGGAAGGAGGGAGGAGGTTATTTTTAAAACAATGTGCTGGGAGGGACATCCTAGCTCTTCTGAGGCATCTACACTTACTACAGTACATTGACTGACAGTCAGATTTACCTTGTTTCCAGAAAACCCAACAAATTCCAGTAGTCGCAGAATCCTTGCAGGAAACATGGATAATGTCTGTGGAAAGAAACATGAGTCATTTGAGGATAATCTTGGTATCTTTTTGTCTCCTAGTCCTAAAATGCATGAACTGACCTTTCTAAACCCAGGAGACAATAATTAAAAATCATTAAAAAATCTTAGCATCTCCCCAAGTTTTCCTGGGCAGATGTATATGCCTCTCTCAGCTATTAGCTATACTCTATGTATGCTCAAAGTTAAGGCAGAATTACCAGCCTCATTACTGCAATAAATAGGTGATTTTTTTTCCTGTACATAAAACCAGCTGCAGCTCTGGGTAATTCTAGCTGTTGCATTTCATAGCGTCCTAATTATTAAGAAACAATCACAAAAGTTAAATATTTGCTGGAGCCACCAAGCAGGATATTTGTTATCTCGTCATCACATGGATCAGTTTTTAGATTCTATTTGACTGTGCCACAAAAGAACTACTGCTGTTAGAGCAAAATAAGAGGGTGATGTTATAAACGGGCATAGTTCTTTTATACTGAGAAACCTCAATGAATTAGCATGGGGCCCACCCTGTGGAAACCTCCAAAACTGACACTATATTAAAGTATACAAAAGATATAGATTCACTTGACACAGATTCAGATCCTGTTATACCACCGCATGAACAGTAAGTATTGATTCCTAGAACTAACTAAACAAGTACACATCTACAAAAGCATTTCTTCCTGGTACAGGATAAGTGAGCAAGCTATTCAAGCATATCAAGAAGGTTGCTTTTTCTGCTAGCACAACTGAAAAAAGATTATAAACTGTCTGCATTAGCAAATATTTCCTTGGACAAACTAAGTTTATGAACAAGAAGTGGCAGAGAATGTTTGGGCTGCATTTTCAGTCTAGTAAGTGCATTACACTATAGTCCTGGTGTTAAATTAGAGTGAAATAGCATTAATAGCAATAAGCACCTTCACAGTTAGGGTGTCAAACTTACCCCATGCCCAGTGCCTGGTTTGGATAATGGGGCTCCTTCACAAGTCAGATCTCTCCTGGGGCAGGGAGGGGCACAAGAACAAGCAGCAATGGGCTGAGTGGCAGCAGGGCAAGTGAGACTGTGTCAGCACAGCCCTTGCTTGCCCTCCTGTGGCCAATGGCCATGTCCACCAGAGAGCCGGCGCCACAGATTCTGTAACAGGCAATGTCCTCCACTTCCCATAGCCCACAGGTAGCCCAACAGGCAGATGGGCCCCTGGTTTATAACTTTCCTTCTTAAGAGTCAGACACACACACACACACACATTATGGGCAGAAGACTCTGAAGAGTATGCTGCGAAAGAGTCAGCTATACAATTTCACACTACAAGAGCACAGTTCACACATGATCACCTAGCTTCTACTGGGACTGTTTTTAGCTGTGGCCAATCACAATCTGCAAACTGTAAAGGTTTAGAAGTGTATGTAATACTTTTCTGTAACCCAGGCTGAATGCACAGGGGATCAAAACCAGCCTCTTCACATGGAGCACCTGATACTTCCTGCCTTGGCCCTATTTAAAAACACCAGCGGTAAAAACATCCTCTCTCACACTTTCTGGTGCTTTCACTTCTCTGGGGTGAAAACAGAATGTAGAAATGCACCAAAATGATTAAGACAAGCACACCATGCCTATTCCCCTCTACCCCACTTCAGCCAGACACAGCTCTTGTAAAAGTTTTCAATATTATAACCATCTCAGAGCTCTCACATGAAGCATGAACTGTGATCAGCTGTTTTTACAGTCCAGATTCTGACCACAGATACAGCAACTCAAATTGCCATCATTATGTTATTTAGTCCTCCCTGCTGTGCTAGCATGGGCTCAAATCCTGCACTCTAGCAGTTGCACAGGCTCTGTGAAGTGAGTAGGGCTCCAGACAGAAGCAAAGGTATGCTTGAACTGTGTGAACTGAAAGCAGGAGCACAAGAATTCCTCCCCATCTCTTTCTATATGCCATTTGCTCACCTTGATGTTTCTGAGGCCTGTTAGTACATTGTGCTGCAAGTACTTACTCACTTTCCTCATTTTAGACATGCAACTTGTTCTCATTGGAGCTACTCAGATGTTTTAAGTTAAGCAGGTGTTTGAAGAATTAGGGCCCAAGTGAAGAATGTTTCTTACATACCAAGTTAAAGGCTCCAACTCCAAGCTTCACACCTCCCTCAAAATGGAGATGGTGTTTTCCTTTCACATAGTTTGGAGACTGTATGAGATGGTCTAGTTCCCTGATGATACAGAAAAACTGCATTACATAATAGTAAGGAAAACACAGGTGAGCTGGGTAGCTTTATGATACACTAAGAAAACTGCCCATTTGTTTTGAAGTACATAACTATTATATACAACAACAATCCCTCATCTCATCTAGATAAGTGAACAGTAAAGTGCACAGTGATCATTACACTTCAGACAATTCCTGTTATACCATCAATTGGGATCTAGGGGATGAATTCTTGCCACACAAATTTAGTGAATTCAAAATAAAATTTCTGCCTGAAAAAAGCTTTTGTCTGCTATTGTTGGGACCACCTATATTTACTGTGACTGAAAAAAATCTCAATTACTTCTAATCTGTGCATTTGATAGCACTGTGTGTATAATGAGCTTTGTGGTTTCCCTTGTCAGTTAATCATACAAAAGGAGAATAGAAAAATAGAAATTGTGCTTTCCCTATAACACACTGCATGACAGCCAGAAGTACAGGGGGCCTCTTCACCACCACTTAGAGAGCAACATGAGAAATCCTAACAGTAACCATTCATCACATCGGGTTAACAGCATAATATAGTAATGTGAGAAAACGTCCCTCTTGTGTCATAAAAATCACAGCACTTGGTAGAGGGACTCAGGGACTGATCTAGAAACTAAAAACTGCTTCTAGTTCACTTTTGAAAGTTGCCTTGATTTCAAGTTGACAAAATCCTTTTAATTACCTACATCATCTGAGTGGATCTGAGGTATTCTGTCTCAAAATGCTCTGTTATTATGGCTATATGCTTTAAGTGTAATCAGAGCAGCTTTGTCACATGGATTACTAGTGATCAAAGTTTCCTATTTGTTTTTTTGGGGTTTGGGGCTTAATTAAGTGAGGACAGCTATGTGCCTGCATTTGGCTCATTGTGAGTTTATAGGTCCTATCTGCAAGTTGTGCCAAATGCAATAATTTGGGCATACGGATCTTGTGGGAAAAATACCCCTCTACACAACAAAGGGTTGTTGCTGTGTGGCTGGTTCACACAGAGATATCCAGAGCTTGAGGCAAGATGGCAGATATATGCGTGCCATGGAAATGCAACGAGCTGTCTACTTTCCAAGCTACGCATTTAGAATTAAGAAACAAAACAGCTCTACACTGGGTGGTGTTCTTTGCATCCAAAAAAAAGTGATTTGGGTTTCCAAGGGACCGACATGCACGTGAGAATGACTCTTGTTTTTAGTTTCAGCTGCACCCTAATGAAGCTTTTGTAGCTAGTATCTGAAGCATAAGTAGTTTGATAATAAAAGTTGGAAACCAAAATGAAATTAAAAAGCAAAAACGTGAAAGTCCTGTAACAGAAAGAAAAGCTGCATGTTGTCTGCCACCATAGTCAGAGCCACACATCTGCAAGGGGTTGGACTATATGACCTCTGGAGGTCCCCTCCAGCCCAACTACTCTATAACTCTATGATTCTATCTGAATAAAAAAAAGGTATTGGCATGGTGTAAAGGCCTAAGTAGATTTCTAGACAGGTACCCATCTGGATCAGAAGTTATTATTAACTTTAGAAAGGAGAACTTTTATTGCCACCCGTTTTTCCATTCACGCAAAAGAGTTAAGAAGAGCTTCTCTTCGTATGTGTGAATCTTTAACAAACAAGTGATGACTGAACATAAAAAGGGGAAATTCCTTACTGCATAAACAGGAAATATTTTGGGATTATGGCTACATGAATAGATGAGAATATTTCAGGTACTTGCAAAAATAAAAAGAGGCATCAGGTTAGCAGCCTGAGGCAGTATTCTTATGAACAATGTAACTGTTAGCTTGCAATGTGCTGTAATGGATGCTTTAAAAAGGAAAAATCCACAATGTGATGAATGTTGCTATTATGGCTGCTTCTTCACTACCCCTTGGACTGCTCTCAGCTCTTCTGGGAGGAGGCAATGATGCAACATGTTACAGAGAATACACATACTGAGCCCTATGATGGGCATTTCTTTTTGTGCCGGGTTCCTTTTTCTTTCATCTGAAGGAGTCATTCAGACTCAAAGTACGTTTGTTCTTTGCATATGAAAAGCACAAGGAGCAGTATACAAACAGCAGTACAGAAGATATGAATTGCCTGACTAGTTGAAAACAACAACAAGGTGTCAAGAATTCTTGTGTTTGAATTTAGGACTGAGTGTTCAAGCTGTACACACAGCATCTACCTGCTCACGGCCTGCTTCGTGCACAGCACAAATTAGACTGAGATCCAGGCTCTCCCAAACTGGACTCCAGAGAGCAAGGAACCCAATATATGTGGACTGCAAATTATTCATGCCCCTAGATTTTGGAAACTTTCCATGAACTATCATTAATAAGTAAGACAGTCTAATTTTCTGGAAATCTTTATATCAAAGCCTTTTTACTGCAAGAATGTTTCTGGCATCAGATCATTTAGATCTACTTACCGGTAAGTCTGATAGCTGTTTCTGACTCTGATGCCTCCTTTGATAAAACTAACCATGTTCTCATCCTATTGAAAGGGAAAAACATCAGCACTCAGTTTGTGATCATTTACTTTCTGGAGATCAAAACCATATTATTTAATGCTGCATAGAAGTTGACATCAAATTCCCCAGTTCAATTTTTAGAAAAATTGCTTTTTGACTGTAAAGAACCCAAAGGGTTAAATGCATTAAAATTATTTTAATCCATCCTCTGTAGCAGAAACAGTTCTGCCTAAGACTCACCATAACATCTTCAGTCTAAAATCCTATGTCAGTACAGAGAAGGACAAATATTTTAGTTAAATGAAAACTGTCCAACAAAGAGAGGACCTTGTTAAAAGGCAAGACCACAACGGCCACTCTGAATTCAAACTTCATGTGACCTGCAGAGCTAAACCTCAATCCAAGCCCTTTTTCAGGTGTCCAAAATCCTAATTTTCCAAAGTTTTAGGGCCATGTGAAGAAGGGGAAAGTGGGTGGATCTGTGTTTGGCTGACAATCCTTTTTGTTTGTTTTGTCAAAAAATGCTAGTTTGTTTAATCTAAAATGTTTTACTCTCAGTTCTGACCAATTTCCAGGGAAACACCAGCAGCTTCTAACAAAAGGCATACGTCCGGGAGCCTCAATTTATCACCAACCTCTCAGGGCTTCTGAACTCCTAGCTTCTGGAGGGAGGATTAGAGCCTGCCTCCCCACCAGGGAGGGGATCACAGAGATCCCTGGAATTGCACAAGGTGACAATTGGGGTTCCCCAACTGTTGCAGCCCTTCCTGTCCAAGCTGGGACCACCAACCCACTGCTTCCACGACAGAACAGATCATCCCCAATCAAGAGGAGGAGCTGGACAGGGAATTTTCAGGCCAGCTTGCGGAGACACTAAAAGCAAGGGATGTAGTTGTCATGGGCGATTTTAATTACCCGGACATATGCTGGGAGGAGCAGTCAGCCGGGACGGACCGCTCCAGGAGGTTCTTGGCCGAGTTGCAGGACCTCCACTTGATTCAGGAGGTGCACAGTCCCACCAGAGGAGATGCTCTGCTGGACCTGGTCCTGGCCGCAGGCGACGACCTGGTAAGAGGCCTCCAGGTTCTTGACCACCTGGGCAATAGTGATCATCGCGTGCTGGAATTCACCATCCAGCGTAGAGTGTCAAGGGCCCGCAGCAAGGTGGTGGCCCTAGACTTCAGGAGGGCCAACTTCAGTGAGATGAGGAGATTAGTGGGAGAGGAACTGGGGTCCTTGAGGGCAGAGGAACTCAGCGTCCAAGAGGAGTGGTCGTTCCTTAAGGAAACGATACTCGGGGCCCAAGGGGTGTCCATCCCGACAAGAAGCAAGGCGGGCAGGAGTGTCCAAAAGCCCCCCTGGCTCACCAAGGGTGTCCGGGAATGCCTGCTTGCCAAAAGGGTGGCGTACGCCCGGTGGAAGGGGGGTGTAATCTCCAAAGAGGAGTATACCTCCTCTGCTCGGGCCTGCAGGCGGGCTGTTAGGAAGGCCAAGGCGGATATAGAGCTCGGATTAGCGTCCAGGATTAAGGATAACAAAAAGTCCTTTTTCAAATATATTGGGAGGATGAAGAAGGCGCCGGGTAATGTGGGGCCCCTGCAGGATATGCGGGGCAATCTGGTGGTTGCGTCAGAGGATAAAGCGGACCTCTTTAACCAATTCTTCACCTCCGTTTTCTTGTGCAGGGACCGGGACTTCCCTGCTGTGATAGAAGCCGGACGCGAGGGGATCGCCTTCAGACCTCAGGTTGGGGAGGACCGGGTTAGAGAGCTTCTGGAGGGGCTGGACGCGTTCAAGTCAGCGGGTCCGGATGCTCTCCACCCCAGGGTGCTGAGGGAGCTGGCTGGGGTTATTGCAGGGCCCCTGGCACGGCTCTACGAGCGATCGTGGTGCTTGGGCCAGGTGCCAGACGATTGGAAGGTAGCTAATGTGGTCCCCATCTTCAAGAAAGGGAAAAGGGAGGACCCGGGCAACTATAGGCCCGTCAGTCTTACCTCAATCCTGGGGAAGCTCTTTGAGAAGATCATCAAGGAGCACATTTGTGATGGGCCGGCATCAGAAATGATGCTCAGGGGCAATCAGCATGGATTTATTAGGGGGAGATCATGTCAGACCAACCTGATTGCCTTTTATGATCAGGTCACAAAGGCCATGGACGCAGGTGTCGCGGTGGATGTAGTCTTTCTGGACTTCAGCAAGGCCTTTGACACCGTCTCTCACCCCATCCTAATTAATAAACTAGGCGACTGTGGCATAGATGCCTACACGGTCAGATGGATTGCAGATTGGCTGAAGGGTCGCACTCAGAGGGTGGTGGTGGATGGATCATACTCGACTTGGGGGGAGGTGGGTAGTGGAGTCCCCCAGGGCTCGGTCCTGGGGCCTGCGCTGTTCAATTTCTTCATCAGCGATCTTGATGTTGGGGTGGAAAGCAACCTGTTTAAATTCGCTGATGACACCAAAATTTGGGGGGAGGTGAGCACGCTAGCAGGGAGAGAGAGATTGCAGAAGGATCTGGATAGGTTACAGGGGTGGGCAAACAGGAACAGGATGTGTTTCAATACGGACAAGTGCAGGGTGCTGCACTTGGGTAGTAGGAACCAGCAGCACACTTATACGATGGGGAACTCCCTACTTGAGAGCACGGAGGCGGAAAGGGATCTTGGTGTCATTATTGACTCCAAGATGAACATGGGCCGACAATGCGAGGTCATGGTTGGCAGGGCTAACCAGACCTTGTCGTGCATCCACAGGTGCATCTCGAGTAGAGCCAGGGAGGTGATCCTCCCCCTCTATGCGACGCTGGTCAGGCCGCAGCTGGAGTATTGTGTCCAGTTCTGTGCGCCCCATTTCAGGAGGGATGTGGACAACATGGAGAGGGTCCAGAGGAGGGCCACCCGCATGATCCGGGGACAACAGGGCAGACCCTACAGAGAGAGACTGCGGGACCTGAACCTATTCAGCCTCCACAAGAGAAGGCTGAGGGGGGACCTGGTGACCGTCTATAAACTCACTAGGGGGAACCAGAAGGGTTTGGGGGAGACGCTGTTTCCCCTAGCCCCCGCTGGCATAACAAGGAGTAATGGGCACAAGTTGATGGAGAGGAGGTACAGATTGGACATCCGAAAAAACTACTTCACAGTTAGGGCGGCTAGGAGCTGGAACCAACTTCCAAGGGAGGTGGTGCTGGCCCCTACCCTGGGGGTCTTTAAGAAGAGGCTGGATGCCTACCTGGCTGGACTCATTTGAGTCCCGTTTTTGTTTTTAGGGTTTTTTGTTGTTCTCCCGCCCTGGTGGGGGGTCAGGTTTGAAGATCTATTAGGTCCCTTCCGACCCTAAAACTATGAAACTATGAAACTATCCTGCTTGGTAGCTTTATTCATAGAAGAATAGGTGACCCTGTGCTGGCTTTTAATGCTGCTACACAGGGTTGTCTGTTCCACACAATAGTACTGTACTGACCCAATCATATGACAACCTCATATATAACTCAGGTGTGATCTTTATGGTATTTTCTGAGGGTAAAACAAAAGGTAGACTTATTAGAACAATACAGCATAGGATTGGGAACAAAGAACTCAGGATGAGACAAGTTTCTATGGAGCAGTAGCCGGCTAGGATTAGGAGTTCTTTTCTAATTAAAACTCATTTTACCAATATCAGTTTAAATGTTTTAATGTATAATATCTTCATTGGTTTCTCTGACTCTTGGGACCTGAGTTCACATTAATCATCACACAAATAGATACAGATGTCTCAGCTTGCATAAAGAAGGGCTGCCATGACTGGGGGACCCAGATCCTCTGCAGTTCTAGAGATCTCTGTGGTTACCTCTCCTGAAGGAGAGACAGGCATGAACCTGATCTGTGGCAGGTTGTGGTTGTTTTAAAAACTGGAGAGAAAATAGATTTATCCTTCACCACAGGTAAAACTCAGGCCATCTCTGGCTCACCACCAGATATAAGCAGCTGACTGCATGGAACTGTGCATGATGCCATTTTCTGTCCTGAGAAACAGAAGGTAAGCAGGGTTTGCTCTCTATCAGGTTTGAATCTTAAAGTGTGTAGGAGAGCCATAAAAACAATGTAGGTTAGATACTGCATTAACACATATGAAACTTGTTGGCTGCCCAGCTTCTGTCCTTATTGATCACTAACAGGAAGTAGCAAACACCAAACCGCTGTAATAGAAAGAAAGAATAGGCAGAGTTTTACTTCTCCTTGTAGAACATGAGGCATAAATGGATGTACCTCTATATAAACCAGCAGCTCTGCAATTTAAGGGGCTGGGGAACCAGCCCTTCCCACCAAAGGAAGCAAAAGACCGGTTTCCATCATTTAACTGCAGGATTTCATGGTGTGTCACATACTAATACCTGGAATATTTCTGCTTAAAGGCAGCTATTTCCTTTGATGTTGGTGGTGGTTTTAAAAATGTTATGTTTAGTTCAATTTCAGCCCCCAAATTCGGAAAGGGTCACATCTACCAGGAACAGCAATAACCAATACAATGAAAACATTCACCTCCTCAGGAAGGTCCAGGGCTGATCTATACAGGGCTTTGGTCACTTTCAATAAGCACCAGAAAGAACCAACTTGAGAAGCTGTTGGCAACTGTAAGATGTAAAGTGCCTTGATCTAATATTGAAAACTATTTTGTGCATTCATGAAAAATGTAAACAAAGCAGAAGAAAGAAAAGAAGGAGCGTAAGAGCTGGACAGTCTTTCTGTCCCTTGCTCTTAATTTTCTCATGAGTGGTTTTACAAAGAACCATGCAGAGCTTCAGACAAAAAGCTGCAGTGAACAATCCTGCCACAAAAGACAAGAACGAACACCAATATTTCATATAGGGAAGCACATTTCAGCCAACGCTTTCAGTTCCTTTTGCACAGCTGGGAAAGTTTTATGATTCTCTCTTTGCAGATAAAGAGGCAGAGAGATTATGGGACTTTCCCCACTGCCACACAGTGAGTAGCAACCAAGTCAGGAATGGAAACCTGGTATCCAGACTCCCTTTAGCCTGGTTTAGCCAGAGGCCAAAGTCCAGGTAACAGCTGCTGCTGTTCTCTCACATGGCAAGCTAAACTCCAATAATCCAAGCAGAACTGCAGTAAAAGTAGGAGACAGTGCTTCTCCTCCCTCACAACAGTCAGCATTATTTAGTAAAGAGAAGCTGTGGAACCAGGCATCTAACACCCTCTCAGGGACCACCACCAACCTGGCTCAAGTGGCTGTACATCAGCACAACAGTGTCATCCAAAAGGGCTGCCAGTGAATGCTGCTGTCTGCACATTCCTACACCCATGTGCAAGAACCATGGACCAGTGCAGCAAGCCAGGGTCTCTTGTCTGGGTCTGTACCACTATCCCGTTTAATCACAGAAACCTCCGTTCATGAAAAAGCTGTGACTGGCAATACTGTACCTGCAGGAATGTCAGCGCAGCTCTCTGAAGTAAGCATTCAGCATAACAAATTTCTGCATGGATTTCCTCTAATGTGAGGGGAAGAGGAAAAAAAACAGACTGGAAATTAAAGAAATATTATAATAGTATAAAGAGCAACAAGTGAGCAAAACCCCGATCACAACATCTGTCAGTTCTAAATTACCGAACTAACCCCAAGCAGCAGTTGCACAAAATGGCTACCAGCTGGCTGTCTGACAGCTATATGAAAGGACTGGCCCAGAACCTGGTGATATCTTCATCTTACACTGACCCTCAGTATGAACTGAAGAGTCTTAGCAGAGAATTTAGAGCTAACACCCACATTCTTAAAGGTATTTAGATGCCTAAGTCCTATGTACAATTAAATCTATGTAGATTAAGTAACTAAATACCTCTGTAACATGCATCTGGGGGCATCTGTACACACCATGGGTTTTGATCCTCATTAAATAGGTTTATAATTTAAACTTGTTTATTTTGGAGCGTCACATCTATGGTTACATGCACTAGATTTTCAAACGAATTAAGCTGGGTCCCTGGCTGGTGCCACAGGAGAGCGGGACAGTTCAGTGCTGCCCACTGAAGGGGGTCAGGCTAGATGATCTGTTCAGGTCCCTCCTGACCCTAGCTGCTATGAAACTATGAAACCACTGTGGCACGGGCCCCCCACCCATCCCGTATCCTGCCATGCAGCTGTGGAAGCAGGGAGCTGGCAAACAAGAAAAAAAAAAAGAAGCCACACAAAAAAAGTGGAAGCAATTCAAAAGCAAGAGCAATTTTAAGTGGTGAGCTACAAATAAGTCGCAACTCTATCTGGCGGACAAAGAAATTAATTATACGTCTTTGGGCACATGTAGACAAAACGGGGGCCCTAAATTGAAGTGGTGGGGTTTTGATGCTTTTCTCTGTGACAGCAGCACGCCTCCCCCAGGCGGCACCCACCTGCAGGCACCTGGCTTGGGCAGCCCTGGGGGGCACCACAGCCACAGAGGGAAGCACCAGGCCCCCGCGCAGCTCAGGCAGGCTGGCAGGCTCCAGGGAAGGGAAAAAAAAGATCAGGCTCATCGTTTTTCTTGAGCAGAGCCCGCTTTCTCAGGTTGCTGCTAGGCTGCCTGAGGGCTTGCTGCAGAGACACGGAACTGCATGGAGCCCGGTGCTTCGCTCCATGGCTATAGGGGCAGCAAACTAAAACTCCTCAAAGGAGGCTTAGTTAGCTGCACCCCAAGTCATTTAAGGCACCTTACACTGCTAAATTTCCTACAGCAGCTGTAATTAATGTGCAATAAGCCACCAAGGCATGCAAACACCAACACCATTAAAGCAGTGCAAAAGCATTTAGACCGCTTTAAAGTGTCATACACACATGCCTCTCATTTCATCTGCACACGGCCTTTGAGTGCCTTTGTGTTTGCACACAACAATTCCATAGACGTGACACTAATTCCCAGCAAGCCAAACTAAACTATGTCCGAGGAGTTTAGTTTAACGCACAAGAAACACTTTTAAAGCATCAGGAAATCCTGCTCGTGCAAGCAGACATACAGTTATAGTGCATGAAAGGGCAAAAACCATGGTGTGTATATGAGCCCATGGTCTACAGCTTCAATTAAAAAAAAACACTTAAGTACTTCCTTCAAAGCAAATGAGAGATCCCACCCCTATTTGTCAAAGCCTTGCAGCACATGTTTTAATACAGTACTTCATAGGGACAGAAATGCTCATCTGTTTAATTAAATGGTTTGCTCAGCTGGGACCTAAACAGACTAAGCTGTTCTCTCACCCTGGCAAGTGTGACCTCCCACACCAGGAAGGAAAGCTTGCTTGACCCTTCCTGACTTCTAATCCTGATACCACTCTTTGCACGGTCATTTAGTTTCGGTGCCTTAGCTCTCAACCTGTATAACAAGGATCTCACCATTTACTTGCCTCACAGGGACACTGTGAGGATTAGTTAATGTTAATGCTCTGGAAATCCAGAGTGTTATGCATGCTAAATGCCATTATGAGGAAGATAACAGGATGAAATTTTAAAAAGTGCACAAGAATTGCATATGAACGCTGCACTGTACATGAACACTGAGAAACTGGGCATCACACAAAAACAGAAATTTCTGAAACAGTTCTGTGACTTTCTTTCTGAAAATGTATCATTTAGTATTAACATTAAAAGTATTCTGTGTTGTCTTACTAGCACATTTGTAGAGTACATTTGAGGAGGAGGAGTTGGCCCTTATGGTCCCTTTATGGCTCTATCTTTAGAGAGAACCTACAGGTTGCTTTATAGCAATAGTGCTGCCAACTCCAACAATTGTATAGAGTTAATTGTATTTATTATTACACAGAAAGCTGACTTTTCCCCCCTTCAAAAAGCCTTCACAATAAAACCAAACAACAAAACCCTAAAAACAAACAGGCCATAAATACAAGTTTGTCTAACACATGGACTTATTCTGAAACAGTTATCTAGAAACATGTATTCTGGATTATTTGTTCCTGAATAATGCCAAGTTCAGACAAACTTCTGGAATAAAAAAATATCCTCTTAACACTGTTCTCTTAACAAGAGTGTCCCTGTATAGAGTTGTTCAGGAGTAGCTATTGCACTTCAATTTTAGCCTCTCACTTAATCCAAGTGATTTTTCAAGTGTGGACAATATTTCTCGCCCTTGTTATGGAGAAGTCTGAAAACATGATGGGGGCAGAGTCCCTCTATTGACTCAGAAGCTACAACACAAATAAAAAGACCCCCAATATTAATAGATTTTTCTAAAGGTTGCAATTTTTTTCTTTGCCGATCTCGTGATTTTTCAATGCCCAAGTCCTGACTGTTGTATATTTTGGGTTGTCAATATAGCAACTAATCTTCAACTCCCAGCCTTTACAGTCAATTCCCAAGACAGGGTCATGAGATCCTCTTCAGCAAATGATTAGCAAGGCAAAGTATTTTGTGGAGTGTTTATCTAAATTACTTGGAATACATATACATGCTGCTTCTAATACACACTGCTTCTGTAACCAATTACAACTCAGCACCATGAAAAACAACATCATGAGACAAAAACTATTTAGTATTACTACCCCTTCATCTGATGAGCTATAATACTATCCTTCTAGTCACATGACCATATTTCATTTAACCCAACTGTGTACCAACCCATGACTCATCTGCATTAAAGATATTACTAATACTACATAACCTTTTAAACTCAATCTAGTATCGGATGGACCAAGCTGCCCATATGCAAATCAGGTTAGTTGTTTATTGTTCCTATGGACATATTTATTTAAATGCATGTGGTGCCCATCCCACAAGGTGCTCACTCCCTGAAACCAGTCACATCAAACAGCGTAATTACAATTCCAGGCAGCAAACTACTCTGAGTCACTCCACCTCCGCGTATCTGCAAAGGGAGGCTTGTGGAGAAAAAGGTGCCAGCAGATGCTTCTCAATAAAATCAGGGGTGTTCCAGATCAGCTGCCTTCACTGATTTTGGCTTTGACAGTATTGCAGAAAGGGGCACTCTACCTCCAAAGGTCAAACTCATCACCCTTGAATGCCATCCAAAGCCCAAGGTGTCCTTTGACAAATGCTTAAAAAAAGACTCCCAACCTCCCCACCCCACTGGATCGGTATATAATGTACAGGCCTGCGTACTCCTGCCAGTGAAAGGCACAGAAAAAAGCAGCACGATCTGAACCAGAGGGAACATTACCTTCGGTAAAGTGTTCGAGATTCTGTCTATGTACAAGGTTGTTAAAGGAATCTGCTACAGTGGATTTCTTCCGAAACCTAAAGAAAAATAAAATGTGGACCATTCTCAACACAAAGCAGTCACAGGAAAACTATAGCATTCAGATGGCCTTACAACCCCAAACAGATCTCCAGCCCACACAAACCATGGCCATGTCCATCTTTTATGTTGTGAATTGCATCAGAAATGCAGCGACACAAAACAGATGTCAAAAGTGTTATAAATAGTGCATATCCCACAGCATTCACATCTTCCGACGCAACTAGTCTTCTCAGGCATTTCTTTTTTCACCCTTATGTAATGCACTTTTAGCTGTAGCCATGACAATAAAAATATCAGCCTTGGACATCTGCTCAAATGCGCCAGAAATTCACAGGTGTTGACTATCACCTTATTCTACAAACATACTGACATCAATCACACTACTGAGGAGGTAGGGCTATCAATACATGGACACTGTTCTGCTGTCATTCGCTGTGTATCTGAGTGCCTTCCATGTAGAAGACTGAGAAAAAAAGTCCTTGGTGGACTTCATGGGAATCTGTTTCTTTTCCTTTATGCACATGAAGAAAACATGGAGTAGGGTTTTTTGCTTGGCTGTCTCTGCATAGGGGAAAAGAGGAGTTGAATGTTGTTTCAGTTATAATGAAATTTCTATCAAATATGAAAAGTTTTGCAGTTTCCTCGAGAGGATTCAGTACCTTGCAGAATTAATCTCAAAGATAGTTTGAACAGGAAATCTGGTAATGTTTATTACCTTGCTACAGGCTTCTCAATATTCTTCCCAAAGAAGAGAGTTTAGAGATAGATGCTAACTGGGAGCCTGTCTGTGACCAAAAAAATGTTTCAGAAGCACGTGGCCAAACAGTGGCTTTCAAAAGAGTGCCAGTGTTTCTCTATTCCACCATAAAAGGTGCTCACTTGTCCAAATAGCAGACCACAGCATGAAGGACTCCATACACTCCCAAAACCACAGCATACTGGCTAAAGCCCAAGAAGAAAGGACTTTATGCTTATCCCTACCATGCAAGGCCTCTTAAGATGCTGGCCAGCAAGTTGATCCGACTCTCAGACATCTGATGTCATTTAAGTCCTTGCCCCTTGTTTGAGCCATGGTAGGTGCCTGAGGAGGTAATTAAACTCAGGACTTTTCTTAGTCCCCTTCACTGACATAACAAATATGATAAGATACTGCAAAGATTGTGCAAATAATGGAGTATTAAGAAAACAGTAAGTTATTTGGCACTAATTTGCTAAGCTTCCCATTTATAATTTTTCTTGTAAAATCTGAAATTAGCCTGTGTTACCAAAACAATACCTGCACATTAACAGAGAAGCTACATTCAAGCAGATGACCTGTTCTAGAGCTAGCCTGAAGGATGTTGTTCATCAGTGTGTACTGGTCTATACCAGTGCTATGCAAGCCTCGTTTCAAGACAGCAGGGTAAGACATTCCTACTCCATGAAGGAGTTCAGAAATCTTGTGTGTCAATTTCTTATTACCAAATTAATTAGTTACAGTCAGCTATTCACTGTGGTTTGGCTTGGAATCCACAATTAATATCACTTACATTTATTACTAGGGCAACATCTTTGCCAGTGTTAATGAATACGTGACTAGAGAGAAAGAAACATAAATGAATGAGGGCAAAGAGATAGATGAAGTTCAGCAACAGGGCAGAGGTATATTGGCTTTAACAAGCAAAGGCACCAATAGCAGGTGTACACCCTTTCATGCAGCCACCTAAATACTTCCCCTTGTGTTCTGGTTTCCAACAGGAAGAAACCCGTGACATGCCCATGCTCGTTTACACATTTCAGTACTTAAGAGAGATGGTTCTTCTTGCCAATGCACTTTTTTGTACTTACTTTTGACAGGTGGCTTGAGCTTCTTTCATTGTGTTTCCTGCATTCACTATGTCCTGAGGGTCAAAGGTCATCATAGCTTGCATTTCCAGCATGGTGGCGTAAGTCAGAGCATGATACATACTGTGCGTAGTTCTGTAAGGAATCCATGAAGCATATAAGCACAGCTGATTCAATTTCAGTATTCATTTTCATGCACACACCACACTCCAAGACCACATTATTCTGACAAACTCAGGTCTGGATGATGGGTTACAGATCAAACACACACAGGGTACCACCAGGGGCGGGCAATTATTTCGGGCGGAGGGCCACTTAATGAGTTTTGGCAAGCCATCGAGGGCTGCGTGACAGGCAGCCAGGGGCTGATAAATATTAATTTTCTAAATTTTTTAGGGGCCCCGCGGGCCAGATAGAATGGCCTGACGGGCTGCATCCGGCCCATAGGTCACATTTTGCCCACCCCTGGGGTATACCCACAAAGGAGCAACTTAAGTTGGAAACACCAACAGGTTTAGTTCCACACAGCAACTCACTTCAACAGCACAACCCTCAATAAAGCAAAGGGCACAGCACAGACACCTGGCATACTGGTCAATGCAGAGGCCATACATGATTAGCTCTGATGTTATTTTATTTGGAACATTTTTGTCATGAACTCTCTACTGAGAACAGTGATGTGTACTGCAAACCATGCCATCATCCTACATCGGGAGAGTTGCTTATAGCCGAATCTTCAAGAGGGTAACACAACATCACATTTGTGGCCAATATAGATGCAGAAGGAAACAGATCTTCGTTTAAAAACACTGACAGGTTTAGCCAAATGCCTCAAGCCTTTTTCTTCTGTCCTGTTTTGCCAATCTTCCATCCCCAATTTACCCTACATGAAAAATCTTCCATGGGATTTCAGACATTACTTATGCTAGAGAGAGAAATGAAAATTACTGGCAAGAAATGCAGAGATTAAGCAGCTACCAAGGGCACTCAGTGCCTGCATGGCTTCTGGCAGCCACAAGATTCTCTCAAGTGCATGTTCTTACATTGTTAATAAGACAGCACTCTCCCAACATCCATGCGTTAGCAGCCCCCACAAATGGGCCACGCAATGCCTTACTGGGAAACAATGCTCCAGTCTAACAAGTGCAGTGATGAGTAGGGAGGAGTTTTTCAGTTTATGGAATATACTTTCAGTAGGTTGGAGAGTGCACTGGGATGGGTTCCTGCCTTTGACAGACTTCACTTCCTTTATGGATACTTCTCAGTCTCGCTTGCCAGGGAGAAGGTACCCCCTGCCCTGGGGCTTATAAAAATATTGTTAAAAATTTTTGCTGTGTAGTTTGGGAATTTGGATTGTTCTAAATGGCAAGGATTTTTCAAGGGTACGAGACAGAGGTAGGATGATACCCTTTTCCTCAATAATATGTCCTATTGCATCAGTTGGTTTGTCCATATATTTTGCTGCTGGAGGATGCTGGCCTTCTACCCCAACCATGAGAGAGGTGTAAACAGAGTACAGTGTTGGTGGAAGCACACGTTCTTCCTGCCCAGGCATATCTGTGTATGTGCACACAGATGGCAGAAGGGTGAGTATGGAAAGAGGAAATAAAGGTAAGCAGGCCTGGGAGGGGAGACATGGACTGAGCAGAGGGAGAGAAAGCAGGATACAGAAGAGCAGAGCAGAAATACAGGCAGAGAATTAGAGTGGAGGAGGAGACATTTGAACTTAACATGGAAGACAAGAAGGGGTGCTTATGCCAGTGACGTCTGTCATAGAATCAGACCCCTGAAAGCACTCTACAGCCATGACTAAACACATACACAGCTGCAGAGAGCTTTTAAAATGGACAAGCATGCAAAAAATTAACCTTCTTCAAATGAAATATTATATTAAGTCAATCTAAACAAAACACTTTAGGGAACTTGTGTCCCTCCAGGGTTAATTTTTTGTGCCAGGGTGTAGCTGGGCTGATGCTTGCGCTCAGCCCTGCCCCCAGGACCCTCAGGAAAGGCAGGAGAGGAAGCAGAAGCTCGGAGCTGCTGCCTATTTCTGAATGGCCAGAGCTGGGGGGAAGAGGTGGAACGGGGTCCCCTCACCTCAAGGGCTCCCCCAAAATACCCCTATTGGGGTAATGGGGGGAGCCAGGCCAGGCCCATGAGACAAGAGGGCTCTGTTCCACCCTGCCCCGCCCAGCTCTGGCCACTCAAAAGCAGCTAGCAGCTCTGTGCTGCTGACCCCTTCTCCCTCCCTCCTCTGCTGACAGCCCTGGAACCGGCTGGGGGGTGGGATGAGGAGGGGAGGCACTGGGGAGAAGGGTGGTCCGGCAGTCTCCAAGGAAGCTGCTGGAGCACCCCCGCCTACTGGCCAGGGCTGGTGCAGACAAGCTTCAGGCCCCCTGACCCAACAGGCAGGATGTCTATATGTCTATTGGTTCGGGAGTTAGAGCGGCACCCCAAACATCTGTAGGCACCCATGGTTGGCTCTGTGGGTGAGGAAGTTATCTTGGTTTTAGGTAATCCCTGTATTAGCAATGAACTTCAAGCAGGGCTGCTGATTTTTTATCCGTTACAACACAAATGCAGATTAGCTCTATCCTTTATTATGGGCTTGGCAGGAAAAGTGGAATTTCTCATATTAACTGTGCCTGGTGTAACTCGTGTGCATGCTTTACCTATACAGCACAGATACCACCTGAACTGCACTCAAGAAACCCCGAGTTTTCACGGTGGCTCTTCATTCCACACAACAACAGCTGTCATATTCAACTTAATGCGTTCTAGTGGGTAGAGCAGAGCTGGGACCCAGACAACATCTGCTCTTTTCCTGGCTTTGTCACTTGCTGGGCAATTCTCCTCACTGCCCTGTCCCTCAATTACCCTATCTGCAAAATGGGGAGAATAATCCAACTTCTGTTGCAAAGTGCATTGAGACCTGGGGGTAAAATGCATTGCATGTACAGCTAAAAACTATTATTACATGCAGCTGTTGCAACCCTCCCTAAGGCATAGAAGACTAATAATAAAATTCTCTCCTTCTGCCTGTTTGCAGCATACCTCTATGAAGTCATGGGGAGCAGACATGCATATGAGTTTTGCAGCCTACATCTTTTTTACATTTATTAGTCAGGGTTATCCTTAAACTCATCCTTAATGTTGAGTTGCGCAATGCCTTTAAGTCATTCAACAACGTTCCCCTAAACTGGGGGTGCGGGTGGGGGGAAGGAGAGGGGAGGGGAGGGGAGGGGAGGGGAAGAAAAGAAACCTAAAACACATTACTCTCCTTAGCTCACTGTTGTGAGTGCTAGGAGAACAAGACATAAGAGGAGAAACCCAGGAATCAGCAGAGACCAGAAAAGTGAATTTTAAGAGGAGTGGAGCCAGCTCAGCTCTGCCCAGACTTACTCTATCTAGACAGCTTAAGTAGCCTGCTAAGGAGAAAACAAATAATGCACGTACTGTAAAAAAGCAGCTTGATGAAGTGTTTCCATCTAAATGCCCTTAGAGGAATTAGGGGAGCTTTTCTTCACCCCATGTTTACTTTTCAGAGTTCCAAATGTAAAGCCCAGAGAGGGCATTTAATAGTCCATAATAAATCTTGCTTCAAGACGACAAATATTGTGCTCAGTACATTGAGAAGGGAATTTGTACTCTTGTTTTACTAGACGGTTGCAAGGAATTTGACTTTTCAAATTCCAATTCCAGACCATTCCCTACCAAATCAATAGTTTCATCTATGTTACAGTTAATATTTTACAAGGTAACACCCAATCAATACACATTTTTCCTTGCATCATTTAGGGGAACAAAAATGCAACTATTTTAGATGTTGCCCAATTTCTCATATTGTTACCTATGACACTAGTCATAGGTAACAATGCGAGTACTAATGCACTACACAAAAAACTAAAATAGTGAGGATATAATCAAGTCTTTTTGTTTTTTAAACACACATACACACTCATACAAATACTCTTACGTGGCTTGACACAAACAGTAAATCTGAAACCTAATTTGCTTTTTCACTGATCTATGACAGAGGTTCCCAAACTGTGGTATGCATACCCCTGGGGATATGCAAGGCATCTCTGGGGGGTATGTGGGAGAAATTGTATAGTGGCAAATTTCATTTTCATTATAATAATAAATGGCACTTAAGGGGTTAAAATATAAAATGTATGCTGGTAGGGGTATGCGGGCAGCTGGTAAATCTGGAAGGGGGTACACCGTAAGAAAAATTCAGGAACCTCTGATTTATGACAGTTTCACATCCACGTGCTTCTGCAAGGATACAGGGTTACAGTTACAGAGGCGTAGCTAACATGTTATACTACAAGAGCATGCACATGCAGCAGTCTCAGTGTAACGGCATACATTACAGAAGCATATATTACCCCTTTCACAGAAGATGTTAGGTCTGCCCATAGCCTGAAACAGCCCTGTAGTTGATAACACCTCATGGAATGAAAGACGTAAAATCTTTATGCAATCATGAGTGATACCGTGCGCCTATTGGTTGCCAAGTAGGATGTAATCACCGTAATGCAACGTTCTAGCTCAGCAAGTGTTAGAACATAAAGCAGACTCCTATCCCCATGATTCAGGTTTCTGGACTGAATCGGGCACAGTAAGAACTGGGATTTGGGTTGTCCTCATTTCAGGTGATTGTCTTGACCATTGGCTTAATGGCTATTGTGAAATTTTTGTTTGTTTGAGCATAAACTCCCCCCTGAATCCAAGAATCTTTTCCTCTGAGGATGGCAGGCATGTGCCTGCAAAAAGCTTCCATTTTGACGAGCTAACAGACAGACGTAAATTTGTTTCATCTCTTTCATCCAAATATTCCCCACTACTCTAACTTTAAGGCCAAAAAGCACTGTGACCACCTGAAGAAAACAAGACTTCCACAAATTTATCCCCGAGTTCAGGTAATAGAGCATATTTTTTTTTGGAAACCACACCTAATGTGGTCCTAACATAACATTGATCTGAGCATTTGCTCAACATTTACAGGATGTTCTAGTTAAGAGGAGAGGCGATGCAGCCAGACATTTCAAGCAAACATGTTTATTAATAGGAAACATGATGCCTACTTCCCTGAGCTCAGGAAAGATCAAACAACAGGTGACCGTCCCCTT